AAGCTTGGTTTATTCAGGTCTGATTAATTAATTCCTGTAAAGTGTTCTGAAAATATAAAACACTTCATAAATACTAGATAATAATAGAGTACTTAAGGAAAAAATAATTTGTTAATTTGCATGGGGGTTTAGGAATTAGCATTTATTTCTTTTCCCTACCTAAGCAGGACCATCCAATCCCTTTTAGCTATCAGAAAATGCTCTGGCAGTTACAGGATAATGCATCTTCATGTATTTTATGTGCCACAGTTGACAGAAAACGAATTCAGAATGACTTGCAAAGTTGTATTTACAGAGGAATACACGCACATGGATGGTTTTCATTCCCTTTCCACTGTCCCTCTTACCAGGAACCTAGGTGCAGAGCTTCTGGGACTAAAAAGCAGTTTGCTATATTTTGAGCTCTGTGTTTTCTCAGCCTGTTGTCCAAGGAACTTCAAACTTCACCAACCACTTCTAAAGCGGTCTGGAATAAAGTAACTAAGACAGAATCGTGTATTTCCCTCCACATTTATATCCAGGTATCTTACGATGCCTTGTCTCAATACATATATTTTTATACCTCTACAGCTCTACAAGAGGAAAACTATGCATATATCCAATTTTCATGCTCAGAAAGGCTGAATTTCATGATCTGGCCTCACATACAGAAACAAAACCTTCCAGGAACTAAATGCAGGCTATTGGTATAAGCACTCTGGAGATCAGCTAGTATCTAAACCAAAGGCTAGGTAGGATAGGTATGTGAGGCCCAGAATCCTGTCTGATCATCTCAGCATAAGTCACATTGAATACTAGATAAAATAAACAATCTGTTTCTAAAATGGTGTAAAATGCACACAGCAATACCATCTGGGATCAGATGCTACGCGATGCTGGAAACGGTGCCAGTGAGACATCAGCACTTTGCGTTCTGTGTTCATTCTGAACTGGTGCTCTGCTCACCTGCTAAGCAGAAATAAGACCAGGTTTGGACTGAACAAACACTGGTTGGGGTTTTTAGGGGGCACAAGCTGAAAGATCCAGCCTACCCTGTTATGTCCTTTCATGTCTCAGAACATTCCCCAGGTAAAACCGAATGTGTTTTCCCGCACAACTTTGGCTGTACACATGCAGACTGCGTCACTTCCACACTCAGCAGCTGAGAATGATGTAGTGACTGCATAGCTTAACAAGAGCATTCCCCACTATGTTCCTCTATAGTAAGTGCTATAGGACTGAGACAGCAGGCGTATGATTTACAGGCAGATCCATAAGAACAACTCTACAAAAGCCAGCCCTTACAGCAGCAGTGGGGTTATCAAGCTGTCATCCAAATCACCTCCTGGGAGGTGCAGCCTGCACACAACTGTGATCACCCCTCTTGGTATATTCTCTTTGTCATGTCAGCGAGGGATGGTCCCTGTTCCCATGCCACCATCTCTGTGCAGAGTGCATTGCTCACCCAGTAGGAGAGAGAAGACTTCAGAAAGCAAATCCTAAATTACTGGACTGTGCTGTTTCCATCTGGACGTAGTTCCCTTGGAAATCCCAACTGGCCCTGTGCAGTTGTTGAAACTGGATGTTTCAATTAGAAGGAGCTCAAGGATTTGGGGAGCATTGTCAGATGATGCAGAAAGCAGGCTCTCTTTCAACATGGCATTTTGTTTTAATTTCTCTCATTAGTGCAAACGTTTAATTCTTTTGTGTGTTCTGAATGCACTGAATTTGGCCACAAATAACGCCAAAATTTATTATAGGGAAGATCATTCAAATTAAAATGGATAGTTTGGGAGGAATTCCCAATATTCCAAGATTGAATTTTAGTCCTCTTCCAAAAAATATGCAAAACCCCCCAAGTATTTTTACAGTAACCATAGTGAAGGAAGAACAGTTGGGTTTGCTACACTAAGGATTTCTACTTTTCTCACAAGCTGATGAGTTTCCAGCTACTTCCTAATGTCCCTATCAAGGCTTAAGCATCTCTGCTCCTCTTTGGCCACAGCACACAGGCACTGCAGCATATCAGTGTTCCTTTGCTGAGTTACAATGGATAATCTCACCTCAGGAGCGGGCTGAGAGCAGCACAGAGCACAGCTGATGGGTGCTACCCTGTCTACCCTGAGTAGACTCTCCCTGGCCTGCTTCCTTCTGCACATCCCCAAACAGTGTTTATTAATGCACTGCTCATTTGATACTAGAGGAGTAGCCAGAAATAATCTGCAATATCAATTCATTACAGCAAGACTGTCTGCTAATAAGGAGCTATTTTTTGCCACATAACGTGCAAAAATCAATTGTATCTTCACTTAGAAAAACCCAAAAGCAAAACATGCCAAAAAATGCTTTTCAAGCTTGCTGCCAAATGTACCTGTTAAGAACATGAGATTTGATGTTAAGGGCTTCATAAACTCACTGAAGCAAAAAACCAGCTCTTTTCATCAGGCTGTTATTAAAAGGTTACCATGCAGTCTCCCAAATCTTTATCTACACTAGAAAAAGGCAAACTAGAAATGAGAAAAAAATATCCCCATCACTATCTCCACAGTCACCACAATGCAGCAACAGAATAAATTACCTGGGGGCTCGTTCCATTTTCTCCTGTTTAAGAAAGTAGCATGGAAAACAAAAGTTAAACTCATGACCAACTGTACCAACTAACAGCAATATTCCAAACCATATGGAGGAGGATGTCTTTTTATTAGCAGAACTGAAAGTGGCCTACAGGAAGAGAACCACAGATTAAAGTCCACTTTTGTTGTGCAGGATTTCACAGCTAACTTCTCCACTAAGGTCTTACTGGATCTGCCTCAGTCTTCTTATTGGAAAGAAATTTTTCCTCTCCATGACACCAAGCTGCACTTCTCCATGCAAATGCTGGTGTCATTACAACTAAAACATCCCAAGGTTCTGATAATCCATCAAGACCTTCACTCCTGCAAATCAAGGACTAAATGTTTTGCTCAAACCTTAAACTCTCCAAGGAACTGTTTTCATCTATAAATATTCAATGTTTACAATGAAAGAGTTGGTACAGTGAGAATGAACAGCAAGTAATTTATGTTCCATGCAATGCAAAGGCATGGAAACACTCTAGTTTCTAACCCTTCTGGGGGACCATGGTCCAGGAGCTGACAAAATTCTCCTTTACAGATACCACGTGCACTCAGAGGGAGACTGCCTTACCAATGAGCCAGGCAGATCTTGAAGAAGAATGAACATTAAAATGCATGTATTGCAGCCAGGAATTCTGGGCCTTGGGAATGTGTTTCTCTGAACACCACCTGATGATACACAGAGCACTTATTTCTGCTCCTGCCCAGGCAATGCAGTGCCAGAACCTGCACCAGTTAGTGACTGTTAAAGGGAGCAGCACTGCAAAATGGCAAACGTATGAGAAGGAAAAACTGTTGTTCCTGGCACTGCTGTCATCAGTCCCCCCGGCAGCCTTGGTCCAAGCCAGTCAAGGACACTCACACGCAACAGCAAAGTAAAGCCCACATGAGGCCCTCATTTAAGGATTAAGGTCATGAATTCACAAAAGAACCTTTTTCCTTTACTCAATGCTTAGTTTAAAATGACAGAGTATTAGAGATTAGATTAGCTCCGCTTTCAATTCAGGTTCAGTCTCAGATTTTGCCAAGGACATCTAGAGGCAGCGGAAGTGGCCAACATCTGTTGTAACTGCAAAGAGATGAAATGAAGCCCTGGCAGAGACAGCAGCAAAGCTCTGATCCAATATTCCCAATGGGCTTTTGGGTTGAATTTGCTTTTCTTTTCTACCTGTGGTGCTCTGCACAGCACAAACTCTAGGCTATCCATACAAAACCAGCAATGCTATGTGCAAGTCTGTTCATGCACCACATTCTGTCTTTATTATATCTGATTCACCATTCCTACTTGATAATATTTCTTCCGCACAATTAGAGTTTTGTTTCATCTCCTACATGCTTCAAAAGAAAGGACTAGAAAAGAATTCTCTATTGACTATCACCAGGGCTGCCAGTAAGTGTAGCCTTTGGCAGTAGGAATTGGAAATTAGAATTATTTAGTGTCTTGTTTACTTCTACAAGCATCTTTCCTTGCTTCTGTACTAGTAGGAGAAGCTAGTGGCCACACAGAGGAGAACACCAGTATTTATTGGTTATATGGTGGAACAGAAAGAAAACCAGCACAGCCTGACTCAGAAAGAAAGGGCAAATGTCTGTGAGAAAAGTGAGGTATTACCAGAGTGTCCCTGAAAGAACTGGTGTAACATCCAGGTTCTCCGGCTGCGCCTCTAGTTTTACAGCAGAATATCGCCACTGAAATAACTGCTCATGTGTAAGCTTAAAGCACTAATACTAAAAAGTCCATCAGACCCAAATGCAGGCCAAAGGTCTCTCCCAGAAGAGGTACATTTGATTTTTAGAAGGAGATATTTGCATCTTTTTAAATAAACCATCAGCTTCAAGCTTTCTGCACACGTACACCTGAAACCCTGCCTGGAAAATATGGCCAACACCTCCATCTTCACAAAGGATTTTGTCCTTTCTCCATAACTCAAAACGGACCTTTTGTTAAATTGACACTTTGCAGCTCACTAGCCTGTGTGGCTCTTTGGGGAAAAGCAAAGCAGAAAACAGTCCAGTTGTTTGGTTTAGCAATGAAGTTTCCCACACATGCATGCTAATTTATTTCATTGAAAATGTCCCAACTAATTGCAACATTTACCCTTAGAGCACATGCGTAGCAGTCACATTAATACACCAGAAGACAATGGCTCCAGAGGAGCTATTACCCTGTACCAGGCCAATAATCCACAAACAGTAAAGGATTTTCACAAAAGATTCAAATGGTTTCCAAGGAGCTATTACAGCATATCAGGTAAATAAAATATTATTGAAATGTATTTTTTGCATTTAAATCACTTGCAGCAGGTGCATAGGAAGTAGCATATAATAAAATGGTTCACATTCCCTTGAATACTAACGAGAATCGACGGAAACATTTAGCAAGAAGCAGCAGCAGCAGGTTCTTACCATCGCAAGAGGAACGATTCCCACAAACATTGTCCGGCTGACAAAGATCTCGGAGACCACCAGTTCGCTCAAGGAATCATCTCGAGGGTATTCCACCTGCCAGGTGATTTGCTGGGCCCCTGCCAGGCTGCTGGTGTTGTCGATCTCGAAGTCCATCTCCAGGATCTCGAAGGAGGACATATTTGCTCTGGAGAAAAGAAACAACAGAATTTCCCAGAACATCAGTCGGTTGTTAGTAACAACATATATTTTGATTTCTCCTCTATTCACCAGATTTACCATTAAAATCAGACTTGAAGGCACAGACAGAAACCTAAATAAAACTATATACTGGCCGTAAAGTAGCACAAACAGCTACTTTATAGATAAGGTGACGCTGTATCTTTTAGTTTCCTGAAATGGAGGCATTTTTCCCATGAAACTGACATTCATTCACCATAATCACAATGAACGTACAGAATAAGCCCCAAACCCTGGGAACTGCATTGCACAGATGCTGCTAAATTATTTAATATAGCATTAGTATAATTTTGTTGCTACAAATTTTGATGCTCTGAAACAACAGAATACTCGGCCGTTCCTCGCGCTGTATCAAAAATGAGCTCTAGGCAGGGGGGGGAGGAGTCTCAGACTCAAACTTGTCTTTATCTCAGTGAAAAAAATGGATTTGCAGAAATTATACATGACAAAAAATGGGGGTAATTATCCTTGTTTTCAATTCATGAAAACATTCTTATCAGTGCTGCAGCCTTGTAATTACATGGTGATCATTATATATTTCTCATCTGGAAATAAAAGTTTAAAGGTAAAGAAATGGATGAACATGCACAGCATACAGAACTCTGTTTAAAGATTATTTCTGCTTTTGTTAACAACAACACTTAGCACTTTCCTCTGGTCAAACACTATGTAAGTATTAATAATTAATCCTCAGGTTATAAAGACAGATCTTATCTTCATGTTACAGAGAAGAAAACAAGACATCAAGATTTAACCAACAGCACGCACTACATCCACAGCAGAGCCCTATTTAGGAAACAGACCTAAAGCTCATCCAGCGTTTTACTTCCACAAAAATTAAGGTACATTACAAAGCAGCATGCAAGTTCCTGCTCCAATTTCCCAGACAGACACCTGCAGCGTGGAGCCCTGGTGCAGCTTACAGATGCTCTTTCCAGGGAGGGAAAGGCAGCGAACCTGACTGCAGACCCAGTCGCTTAATCATGTGCCGTCAGAGAGACGACCAATGTTACCCTTATTACTGAAGTTTCAGCTCATAAAATAGGTTAAAATCTGAATTTGCAGCATTTTAGGCCGTTCTGTATTGACTTGAATGTGCTTTTACTGTGATTACTTGTTCCCAATATAGGACAGTGTCCCATGCATGTGGGCACCCCTCAGGAATGAATGACCCACTCTGTTATTTCACCCTCCATCCTGTCCCCTGGTACATTATTTGTGTCTCATCACCCTAAGAGCTGTGTTCATAAAAAGTTTTAGCCTCTGCTACAAAGAACAGAGACTTAAAACATCCTTTTCCTCTTCCCAGCTGCACAGAGGCAGAATCTGGTTGTGCCATATGTTTTTGAAGGTGCACTGTAAAGGAAAAAACAATCTAAACAGGAATTGATTTTTATGTTTTCTTTCTGACAACAAACACCACAAGCATATGCTTCAATGCCTGGAGGATAAATATTTTCCATGCTAACACAAGATAATATCCACCTCCAGGCAAAACTAGAAGCTATTCAGGCATCTTTTGGGTAGCCAACCAGACAATCAGCAAAACTCTTTTAAGACAAAAATTATTACACAATACTAGGGATGTAATTTAACCATTTCTGTCAAAAACATGACCATGAAGTAGCACTCAACTTCAAAGTTTTCTGTGTATATCACCTTCTGGCAGTTTGTTTTATCTAAATCACATAAAATTAATTTCCTCATAACACAGAAATAAGATTCTGAGATGAGCTTTACACTAACTATGGATCTACATATTGAGCCTGTAAGTTATATGCAGAGCTGCAATTTAGCTTCAATCTGTTCAAGTCAGTAGTTGCCACTCACAAAAACACCCATGAGTGGATTAAATTTGGAACAAAACCACTGATGGAGGGTTTTGCTTTAGATTCACCACTTAAATAACATGTCAAGTTAATCTGCACTGATAAATCTATCCCACATGTCCCACTAATGGGCCCTTCTTCGAGCTCGGTCCATCATGCCTTCCATTATTCCCTTCCTGTTTTAATTTTTACACATCCAATAAGTAACCATAATAGTGGTTTTATATTTTTAAGACAGACTGGGACTCAGATCTCCCTAAGAAAAGATTGTGTGTCTTGACTATATAGCAAGCCAAAGTAATTGCCAGGGAATAAAATGACTCTTGTGCCTGTAAATATGCAAAGACCATCACTGCATCCTTAGCACGGCTGTATAACAATAAAAGACATAAGTTTCATTTAAAGGCAGACATGGTTATACACTGCTGGATTCAAAATGAGTCTCTGTGCATCCACAAAAGAGCAGCAACTCACATAAATAAACCTTCCTCAGGTCTAACTAATACTAATGTACAAACTAAAGCACAGCTGACTTCAACCCAGGTCTGCCAGGACTTCATAGGTCCTGGTGCCAAAGCCAACCCTTATTATCACCTGGAAAAACAAGATGGCTTATCAAATGTTTGCTGCTTTGTCTCAGAAGCAAATCATGTAGCACTACTTACTAATATGGATTAAAGGATCCACTTCTTTTCATTTCGAATTCTGCTGAAAGAAATGGACTTACTGTATCTAACACCAGGTCACTGAATTTTCTCTAAAATTATGATCTCCCTTTTTTTTCCTCTTCAGCCTTCAAGCAATGAAAAGTGTTACAGTAGCTGGAACACAGAGCACTCAACGGACTAATCTACCCTCTTTATTCTAAGTCTTTCACAAGCTTACAACGAACCATGATAAAACCTGAAAAGTGAATTTCTTTCTTGCTCAGACTAGTGCTTTCCTACTGGCTGCTGCGTCTCTTATCCTGCAGAGGCTTCTCTCCTAGGGGGAAGATCAGTATGATATGTGTAATTCTTTCAATTTACTAACCATCCTCTATAACACCATAGAAGACCACTGTCTTCTTCCACTGAAATTGACAGGGGTTGCTAAAGTAAAACCAGAGATAGATTAAACCATAATCACGACCTTGAAGGTTAGTATTTACTTATATCAACTCCATTATCTGATAAATCCACATCAAAACACCTGTATCTAAATCTCTCTCCTGGCTATAGAGCATTACACTATAACCCTTTTGAGAAGCAGTCACTCCACCCTGCCATGGCAAATCTTCAGCTTTTAGTCTGATCTGTAGCCGGTGGCCAGTACGTTTGTTGGTCTTTGAAGTGGATCTGCAACTGCCTGGTGAAGACGAAGAACTACCAGTGGGAAAACCCACTAGCAGAGATGACAACTGAACTCTTGCTGTTACCAGCCATTAAATCCCGCTAATCCAAACTTCATCCTATAAAGATTTTTCAGCTTTTTCTCAGGCCTTCTTCCATTCTTCTCTTAAATATGCTTGCACCATTGGGAAGAGTCTGATGGAATCCAAAGACTAAAAACCACTTCTCCTTTCCACATCTTTCCTCTCTTTTTAGTTAAGTATTTCTATTGTCCAGTGATCGCAGTTTGGAAGAACTTTGCCAAACCCCAGTTTAGAGGAGCAATAAAAAATAAAAAGTCAAAATTACTTCTATAAAAAAAGATTATTTCCTGCAAGCACAAGGAAAAGACCTTATAATTTTAGGCAGCTGGCATGCTTGCTAATAAGTCCATTTCTATGGAAATGAGTTCATAACTATTAATTTTGCCTGCTCCTGATCTATTCTTGATGAGCTTTTCAAATTTAGAAAAGCGCTTCATGATTCTCTCAATTTGGTAATTACTAACTCCCTTTGATGAATCCAGCCCAGTGTTTCAGACATGAGACATTCATTACACATTTTTCTTTCTGGTGAGAGGAGAGAAAGAAACCATAGGCTTGGATTTATTTCCTCTTACAAACTCCCGTAAGTAGGCCTTCTTCTTTAAATTGCAAGTTGTAATCCTATTTGTGTACTTTCACAATGCCACCTCTGCTAGGCGCTTGGAGAACCCCCAAACCCTTGAGATTTATGCACAACTTCCCATTGTTCAGCTTCATATATACCTAATGCACTCAAACCAGGTCTCCCACAGCCCAGTCAAGCTTTATTAACACACATAGTTTTCATCCTAAACCCAGCAGTTTTAGTAGGCACGGTTGTGATCCCAAACCCAGAATAGAGAAGAGAGTTTTAGCACAGAATGGTAAATCCATGCCAAATAAAGCCAACCCTAGCGCTGACCAACCGCAGAATAAGAAGAGTTAATCAGGACAGGAAAACATTGCTAAGTCCCAGAACTTTCCAGCAATGGACACGTCCTGATGCAGGCACACAGAGCCCAACTGCCTCGCTGGGTTTGCCAAGCCGAGCCTCAAGTTCTACCTCTGGATGTACGTTAAGCCATACAGGAGTGAGCACTCCACCCAAAAGCAGAGCCTCTCCTCAGTTAACAGTCTCCCAGAGGAACAAATCACAGCCTGCACAAACCACTAGAAAACTAAGGCCTGGGTTTCAAATGCCCCTAAGTACGTTAGAGAACTCTTGCATTACTGCATTCAGATGCTGTGAAAAGATTCACATGGGTTTTGGAGGGCTATCCATCATGTTACCTTGTTACATATATTCTGATTGATTTTCTTCCCGAATCTGCTAGTGGATGCAAACAGTAGGAAAAATATATGTATTTTTAAACCTACATCTAAACCAAATCCAGTATCAGGTTTTTTTTTCTCTACATTTGAGTCCTGTGTCCAGCTCTGGGGCCCCAGCACAAGAGGGATGTGGAGCTGTTGGAGTGAGTCCAGACAAGGCCATGAAGATCCTGTGAGGGCTGGAGCAGCTCTGCTCTGGAGCCAGGCTCAGAGACCTGGGCTGGGTCAGCCTGGAGAAGAGAAGGCTCCTGAAGGGGAGACCTCAGAGCAGCTCCAGTGCCTAAAGGGGCTCCAGGAAACCTGGAGAAGGGCTTTGGACAAGGGTCTGTAGGGACAGGCCAAGGGGAATGGCTTTAACCTGCCAGAGGGGAGATTAAGATGAGCTCTTGGGCA